TAAATGTAAACTTTGGGTTTATGAGTATCATCAACAATTTATTTTTAGCATATGGATAGAAATTTTTGGTAAATTTTTCCTCGTCAACATTTTTTAGCGCATTTATCTTAAATCTGTAATTATATCCAAGCGTAATGACAATGTAAAAGTTTACCATACTCCTTTATTATTCAATTACTAACATAAAAAAAAAAAATTTAAAAAAAAAAAAAAATGTTTACGCATTGCTACATGAGTCATTACTCAAGTTGTCTTGTTTTCATAAACATGCGGTGATGAAAGTAAAGTTTAATAAAAATAATGATTCGTCAGGTTGGTGATGTATCTATTTGGAATGTTTCAGTTTGAGATGGGTACCAAGCAGATACGCAACAACAGAGCCAAATAACTCATCGTACAAATTTATGCTAAAATGATTGTTTCTTCAATAACAAGGTATTTAATTTAGTGCCGAAGTGAAATTAACAATCGGAGTCTCTAGATGGTTTATTATGCGCGGAGGGGGGGAATCAAATATGCATGTGTTAAGCCTACCAGAAAAACGTTGTTGGTGGTTTTGAGGTTAGGATTTTTGATCATTCTGGATAATGGACATCCGGATTTCGGACTTTGTACTGTATATAAATGAGGATATTTATTATATGCTTATAAAAAAGAAGTTAAATTCAAAATTCACTAAATATTGCACATTACTTATGTAAATTTGACGTGCAACTGCATTTTGTGCATGAAAGCAGGCAGTCTTTAGATCCATATATGTAAAATATCCTTATATATATACATACTGTTTCAAAAGAATTGTTAATCTTTTATTTATTTATTTGTAATTAAATTTCATTAACTTTTAATTTGCTTTTTACGAGTAGAGAATGTTTATTAACAAATGCATATATATATATATATGAAATAATAATAAAAGCACAAGGAAAAGCTGTAGCAGTGTCGATGCTTGCTTAGATCCATACTGAAGAAGAATTTTAATTGCGTAGTATGCTAAGAATGTTAACTTAGTAATATCTAAAGAACTTGGCAGTAGAGGCAGATTTAATTCCATTTTTATTTCCAATTGATATTTGTGGCCACAATCACTTGGCACTCTAGTCGTGGCTTTCCACAGAAGATTTACATTTTTGATATTGTTGAGATAGAAAGCAAGCCAGCGAAATTACATCTTAGCAGAGTAGAGAGCAAAGCTGAAGTGCGTAGTTATGCAAGATGGAAGCACACAAAGAGAAAAGTTTTGGTTTGCAATTTGGTGATTGGTCAAGAGGCATCTGCATTAAGGGTTATGTAAGATCACATGATTAATTTGAATGACAATGACGCAGTTTAGACTTACAGCGCTATTTTTAGGACAGATAGATGAGGTTCCCAAATGAAATATATATATATATATATATATATAAAAGAGGTTATAGTGAATTAAATTTAGAAGTTTGCTTTCATATTTTTTATCTTACATATATATCATATGTAATATATAAAATCCTTACATGTATCATTTGATGCAAAATTCTTATATAAAGTTAGACAGTACTTACAAGCTTACTTAGACAGTAACAGCCAACTGTAAATTGCATGTTGCCATCACTGTCCAAGCACATGGCCAATTATTAATATTTTGACACATACAGTAGATGGACAAAAATATGGAAACACCTTGTGAAATGCATGTTTGAAAAGAAAGATTGATTTTAATGAAATATGTACATGGCACTGGCGTTTTTGACTACTGACGCCACCTATACAACTTCGTAAATGTGCTAAACAGTTTCAGTTTGTTTTCGGAGTATCGTGAGTCCTGTTTTTTTTCCTTTTCTTCTTTGTCATTGCCCCCTTATGTCAGAGTTTAACAGACTTTTCGAACACATGGGCAAATTGTTTGGAGCACGTATGGTAGGTGCTTCCGTAAGCAAGGTAATCCGAGGTTGTTTCGTGTTTCACAATACTGGTTGTAATCGAAGATTATTCCGCATATTTGAAAAGCGGAAAAACATCATCTCTGCTAAATCACAGCGCGGACCGAAAGTGTGTGTCCTGGTGATCGTGACAGACGATCATTAAGGGCAATTGTGTGACGAATAAGGAGACCACAGCTGCAAAAGCTGCTGGAATGTTGTGTTCAAACCGCCTGTTGAGAGTACCAAAACAATTAGAAGGGAGCTTCATTAAACAGGGAATTGCTGGCTGGCCGTGCTGCAATTGAGAAGCCACTCATCAGTGATGCTAATGACTGCCCATAACACGAAAAGGTGGTGGTTTTTAAGTCCCCCATAAAGCTGGTAGAGCAGTGGAAGCGAGTATTAATGGTCTGACGAGTCTTTTCTTTCACATTGTTTCCCATCTTTTGTGGCATCTGAGTTAGGTATGTCCTGGAGAACGCCATCTCAAGCCTATAATAGACAGACTGCTTGTTGCCAAGAGTGAAACATGGTGGGGGTTCTGTTATGGGTTTTGGGCAGCCCCAATCGTGGTTCTCTGCTTAGCCCCATGATAACTGTGTTCAGGGCCATGACTGCCAAGACTATGTGAACATTTTTGGCCGATCAGTTCATCCCCCATGGTACAACACGAACTGATTGTTTCCCCCATTGTGATGGTTTGGGTCTTCCAAGACGACAAAGCCCCTGTGTCAACAGCTCACATTGCCCCCAGGAGGGACTGGGTTTTTCCTGAGCACGAGGATGAGTTGTCCCATCTCCCCTGGCCCCACAGTCACCAGACCTGAATATTATCGAACCTTTGTGGTCTACATTGGAACGGAAATTCTCGTTATCCACCGCCAACATCTTTATCTGAACTTGCCACCGTTTTGCAGGAAGAATGGTATAATATTTCCTTGGCAAACATACAGGAACTGTATTTATCCATTACGAGAAGACAGCAAGCTGTTTTGGATGCCAACGGGTTTCCTACACCATATTAAGCAAAGAAACATGTTTTTTTAAAGGTGTTTCCATATTTTTGTCCAACTCCTGAACATCTTTAATAATGTAATTTAATTCTTGCTGATTTAGGGGATGATGAACAATTCAAAATGATTTATTTCATTAACGTTTCCTATTGAATCTTCTAATTGTAATACTGATAAAAAAAACAATGAGCTGTGGAGTGCCAAATTAAGTGGAAAAAAAATAGAAGTTAAATTGCAAGCTTCAATTTTCTTCCCTACACTTGAGAACAAATAGCAACTAAATGATTTCTTAAATAATTTTCAGGAGATTCATCTGAGTTTGAACTATTAATTATACATGCATGTATATAGTCAGCAGAGCAAAAAATAGGAGATCTCTTCCAGTAAGAGATGACACATGCAAAACAATTTTTTTTTAAAGGTATATATATCCCAATTTGAAATTTAATAGCGAGAAAATATCAGATAACTGTGGTAAAATTTTTCTACATATAAATACATCTTTTAAGTTATTCACTGAAACAGAATTATTTACTTTGAAAACTCATCGACTGCACTTATTTTAGAGGGGGGGGAGGAACACTATTGTAGATAATGAAAGTAATATATAATTTAACCGTGGCCAACAGCTCAACATCTGCATACATATCTTTTGGGAGAAAAGAATTTGGCACACGTAGTTTTAAAACATGAAAGATCTACAGTACTTTTTTTAGTTAAAATGTTGCATTTATTCATTAGAAGTTATTTCAAAACATAAGCAGAACAATAGTTAAAGATATATTAAATCAGTTCAAATATATTCTTTTACTACCTCTGTTCTCGTATACACCTCACACATGGAAAAAATCACGAAAATGCCCATGCAGCCAACCTATTCTTCAGGATTAAAACCCCGGACTGAACTACCAGCACTCAGAAATTTTTACTGCTTGGACACTAGTGGGCCAAAGAACAAGGGGCCTGCAAACTGAACACAAACACATTTCAACTGGATACTAATGCATCCTGGTTATATCCCATGGTCGAGTCTTCTCTGTCAGCTGAGATGCTTCAAATATGGGAGAGAAGCATTCTGTTCAATAATGTGGGATCACATCTCTCAAATCTCCTGGAACTTTTGTGTAAAGAGGTCAAAGGAGAGCAGAGGGTTAAACTGGCCAGGTCTGGATTTGAAATTTCTTTTGCTTCACGTGATGAGCATTCTAAAGATGTAAAATTTAAAAACAAAAAAAAAAAAAAAAAAAAAAAAAACAATCACGAGTGCTGCAAGTCTAATTGCTGTAATTTTTTTTTAAATGCGTTCCCCCCCCAATCCAAAAATCTCACAAGAGCAAAGAATGTTTTACAGCTTGATCAATGTGTTTAAAAAGAAGATTAAACAAATTACGAGAATTAAAATGCTGCCTTAAGCCAGAGCATTTTGCGAAGCAGTGTGAACAGTTTATTCACTGCTATCTGTGCAAGCGATCTAACCCTATAATTTTATATCCCGAGGTATCAGAGAATAATGCTGAGAATAAGGAAAAGCGAAAAAGTCGGTAATGGTACAAGGTACAATATGTATGAATACTCTCCCCTGTGTATGAATGAAGTCACTCTTATGACTTTAATGGTTGAAGTAGTCACAGACAATGTAAAGAAGGTAGTCAGGTACTTCTTGGATTGTGGATCCCAAGGATCTTGCGTTTTACAATCCACAGTTGAAGCTTTAAATCCGAAAAGCACTTCCTCTGAGAATTTAACTCATGCACTACTTGGGAGAGCAAGAAATGAGTCAAAAAATCGCAAGCGATATTCTATAAGCCCAGTTCGAAAAAGTAAAGCGTACCAATTTAGTTTTCTGGATCAAGATACCATTTGTGGACGCATAGCATGCATTTCTAAAAGGTGGGTTATTGAAGGAATTAAAAATTTGGATTTCGGATGAGGATATTAATAACCTACATGGTTATTTAATTATGAACAGAAATTATATTAATTATGTACAGAAAGCTCAGAGCAACCAAGTATTCAGAATACTTAACTAATTTAAATTTGAATGCTATTCAAGAATCTTGTCATACCAATATGAAACATAGTTAGTCTTTCTATAATTAGTCTTCCTAAAATAACAAAGATATGGAAATTTTTAACAGAAAACAATAAAAATATTGTCATTGACATTTGATTCATAAATAAGAATAACTCATTGTGACAGAAAAGAAAATTTACTGATTAAAGCACAAAATTCTATAATGTTTATTAAAGTTTTGCCGCAGTTTACATCAAACTGTATTAAAATATAAGAATTTTACAAAATCAAAGAAGGGAAGAACCTAATAAAATTTAACGTATATACATTATGTATTATTAACAGTAACATGATTTACTATTGGTGGGGGATTGAAAACGATCTCTGAATTAATCATTCATAAAAAGTACTACAATCCTTTAACCATGAAATCTGCAAATTATATTTTATAATTTGAAGAACAAAATAGAACTATTAGTGAACAGAATCCAAAGTGTAGTTAATACAATATTATCCTCAAAACTTAAAAATTTGTGCATGAAGTTATACACATAATTCACTGCATAAAAACATAAACATTTCTTCTCTGATTAGGAAGCTTAGCTTCCTCCCCAAAGCATATAAATATTTACATTTGGAATGTCCAAAAGAAAATTGCAGGGCCATCTAATGATAGTGACATTTTTGGACCCACTACTTTTCTACTAAGTTTCACCTCCTCCTTTACACTTTGGGATATATACCTATGTTTGCGCTATATCCTTTGGGTCTGTAACAGCTATTGCTGGAGATGGGAAGAGGACTGATCAGGCATGCTCAAATGATTTCACTTGTTTTAAAACTCATTTTACGAGTTACACTTTTAACGTGATTAAGTGGATCAAATTGAACATTAATGAACAAACTAATGGGTACTTATGTATTAACGCCACTGCAGTAGAAGTTGAGCTGATGTGCCAATAAAGAGCAATCCTGTTATTCACACGCAGTTAGTTATCTTTTGGATTCCTTTTTGCCTTGTTGTTTGCTGATTTTTGACGCCATTTTTTAGTGCTACGAAAATACGTCTTTGAGATTTGCCAAACACAGAAAAAGATGCAATTTTTTTTTTTTTTTTTTTTCAGGAGCGAAATATTTTACAAAAAAAGAAACGAAAATGTACCAATTCACATGATATGAAACTTTATTTTGGTAAATGTACGTTTTGGAAATGTAATTTAAGACAGCGTGATCAGCAAGTGGGACTCAGAAAAGAAAATTGGTTTGAAGGAAGCAGAATTCCATTTTGTTCAGCTTTGAGATTTGTATACTGCTGGTGCAAGGAGTCGATGTTGATTAAATTTTGTGAAAAGCAACTTGATTTATCAGATAAAACTGTTATAGATTGGAACAATTACATGCGTGAATTATGTGTCTTGGATATGGAGAATAAACCAAACAAAAAGGTAGGTGGACCAGATTGCACTGTGGAAATTCATTAAAGTTTGTTTACTACGCATAAAAATAATTGTAGTTGAGTATTACCCGAACAATGGGTGTTTGGCGGTATATGTAGAGAAACAAAAGATTCGTTTGCTGTCACTGTTCCTAATAGAACTGGCTCTACCCTTCTTAATAAAACTATTGAAAACATTGCAGATGGTAGCACAATTTATTCTGACAGTTGGAAAGATTACCAAACAAATAGAAAAAGAAGGATTTCTACATGCTAAAGTTAACCATAAATGCAATTTTATTGATCCTGATACATACAGGAGTTCATACACAAACAGTTGAGAGAATGTGGGGCAGTGCTAAATGGAGGAACAAGAGACATAGGGGAACAGCGAGACATCATTTAGAATCTTATTTAGCAGAGTTCATATGGTGACAACATCAGGTCAAAGAAAACAGAGACTGTTTTGAATCTAAGTTAAACTCTATATCGGCCCATTTTTCACCAAAATCCGATTGACTACTTTGATTTGACATAAAGTGTTTTGATTTTTGTAAGGGTTTTAATTTTAAATAAAGTGTTTTAATTTATGATTTGTCGCAAAAATTTTAGGTGTAGATTGACGAAACTTAAAAACCGCCAAATCTTCAGCTGCGGTGGCATTAATACGTAAGTACCAACTAATGATACACTTATGAACAATAAACTTAAGAAGAACAGGAGGAACAGTGATTATGTTGAAGTACTTGCAGGATAATTAACAGCTAAACAATTATTAAAAGTTATTGGGATGGTTTGAAACCTTGTCATGACATATTATGAGAGTTGCTTTGGCTAATCTTTAGAATATGGTAACAGGTAGTTTGGCGACATTTTGGTAAGGCGATAAAGGTTACTAGCTAGGACTTTAACAATAATCTGAGAAGTACACAGTTCGAATCACAGATTATTTTGTCTCAGAGAAATGAGAGATCATGAGACATGTAATGTGACATTTTCCGGAAAATTCCGATCGTGATTTTAGCTAATAAGCACTTAGAAACAATTTCGCTGCTTGCTAAAGTGCAGAATTGCCCACTTATTTGTTTGCCGCTTTTTACAAGAGTATCAAGAATTGAATTTTTGTCAATTTTCTTTGACTTTTTAAGTGAAAATAGGTTGATGTGTACATAAAAAAAGTCAAGAGTGTGCGCAATTCCATTTTTGCGCAATTCTGGGATGTTTTTTTAAGTGAAAATAGGTCGACAGGTACTTTGATACCGTGTACGTGCAATTCTTAAAAACGCAGCAAGCAGTTTGCGATTCTGCACTTTCTCCCAATTTTACACCTAATCTTCGTCATGATTAAGCATTTTTGTTCCATAAAAGTTCTAGTGGGGGAGAATCTGCTAATGGGGGAGGGAGGCTAGCAGATTGTTGGAAAAAATTTTGAGTAAAAAAAAAAAAAAAAAAAGGACTTTACTTCGTGAAAACAAAACTAGCAGGTTGCTGTAGCAGGGCTGGTCGCCAAATTTTCGCCAAAAAATCACCAAGTTACCATAATGTAAAAATTCACTGTTGCTTTTAATATTAAACATAGCATTACAGTTTTTTCTAACAATGCAATTCATTGTAAAAAAGAAGCATACCAAGAGAGAACATCAAAGAAGAAAAATAAAAGCATCATTACTGCAATTTTTAGAGAATAAAATGTGAATTAAGAAAAACATACACTTTAAAAAATTATTCCTAATTAAAGGTACTAGTGATGATTTTAATTTATTAATTGTATTTTATTTACTACAAGTGTGCGGAATTTTTTTTTTTGGGGGGGGGCATTTTTTGTATGTATTTAGTTCTTTCATTAGTCGGGTTTCAAAAAGTCGAGGAACTGATTACCTGGACTATGCAAGGTAGTTGTAATAGCAAACACTAACTGATTCAAATTAAATTAATAAGCAAACTCCCAGATTATTAAACACAGTTTGTCAAATGGGAAACTTAGTTCTCTGTTATTTTTCCAACCATTATTTTCTATTATCCATCAACTACTTGAACAATCCAATGGACAAAATGAATCCAATAAATAAAAATAAACATGAAATACCATAATGTGAAATAGGTCATATTATGTAATAAAGTACAACTATTTAGAATGAAATTTAAAGTATTACTTAAAAAAATATAGACCATACTGTACTGTCAAACAAAACTATACAGAAAAAAAAAAATCTATTAAAAATAATTCTACAAGTACAATATTCACAAGATATCACACTCTTTATGAATAATTTATTGGGCAGTTTGAAAACTTCATGTGCAAGTAGAAGTGTGCATTTTATACATATATAACTCCTGGTTACCGAAATAAGTAAAAAAAGGCCGTACCAACTTTATTTTAAATTAACCTGAGAATTAAAGCACTATTTAAAAAAAAAAAAAAAAAAAAAAACAATACTTGTTATTTATTGCATTGCGGCTAAGGTCTGTTTAGAATTAATTTACATATTGGTTTCGTTTATTTAATTACGGCAAAGCACTTGAGGACTGTCTGCTAATGGAGGAGGGAGGTCTTCATGGACGACTTTCTAAGGGAAACTGGATCATATACACATTACATATTAGGAAAACGAAGAAAATGCCCGTGTAGCCAGCCAGTTTGCCAGGATTCAACATCCAGACCAAACTTCCACTGTTTAGTTCTAAACTTCCACTGTTCCACCACTTGGCTGCTGGTGTGTCCCCATATATAATAAATAGTAAGCATGATAAGCTATAATGTGACCACATTTAAATTCTAAGCTTTACTTTTATTCTCACTACACTATGTTAAATTAATTGAGTGACTGACTGATTCTAATGGGAAGAATGAGTTTCTATCAGCTATCTATTAATTTATCTATGATGATTCTGATATTGATGTATAACTGAAGTAGTTTCTGAAAACTCAAAAATAAACTGATGAGTGATAAGTGTGATTTTCTTATTTTTATGTGATCTATTTTCAGGAGTACAGTTTCATGCCTGCACATTTACATGAATTTAGTATATCATAGTTCCATAACATTTTATTGAAAAAAAAAACTAATATTTATGTAACTGAATTTGCCATTTTAAAAGAATATTATACATACCTCTAAAGGCATTGAACATTCTGAAAAATAAAAGAAAAAGGATATAAATTAAAATATTGGATTATAAAATGTAAACTCAGTAGCAGCATTAATTATGGACTATGTAAAGAATATTTACAAAGTTTTAGAACTAAATTCATATAAAACCAAAAACTGAATAATATCTTTAAGTTTATATAATACTTGGCACTTCCACACAACCATTTTACGTGGCATCATTACAATTCTATTAAAATAATGACCTTTAAAGTCAGACTTCAGTTTGAGGAGAAAATAGTCTACATGTGTTAAATATGTAAACAAAAGTGGGGGCTGAGAAATGTAATGCTTTTTTTTGGGAGGGGAGTCAGAGATTGTTTGCTGACACTGGAATTCTTTGAAGGCACACTGTCATGCAGGAAAAACCAGTTATTTGGTTGAGCTTTTTTAGGGTACAAAATTCTTTTCAGAATGCTATCCCCCATTGTATCTAAAAAAAAATTCACCATCATTCTCTCCCCTCCCCAGGTTAAATTTTTTATGAACTATCACTTTCCAATCAAAAAAGGACACCTACATAGCTTTTAATCAAAATTTCTGAAATTTTTGTAACCATGGTAAACCTTCTCCAACTCAAGCAGATGATAGTCATTTTCTCTCAGGATCATAAGCAAATCACTAAGTGTTCAATCTGAAATAAATATCAGGATTAATCCTCATTTTACAGCAAAACTTTGTTGCTATTCTTTGCTCAGCTTTCAAATCCATGCCATGATAGTGGACACTCATTGGATCAAAGCAAACAATTAAATGCATAGAAAATTTTGTCTATAAGCAGATGATATTTTATAAAATGTAAGTTAAGATGTAGTAATAAATGCTGAAAATTATTGTTTAGTAAGTTTGCTGGGATTTATTAAAAGAAATTAGTTTTGAAACTTACTGGCATACTGTATAATTCTTAGAATTAAATTTCTTCATAGAAAATAAAAATTTATGACTTAAAAATTAACCATTATTCTAATGGATTAATTAAATTAATAAAATTCAAAATACACTTTCTATTCATGCATGAACATCTATTAGATTTATAAATAATGTACAATTTAGATATTTTTGTCTGAAGGGTTACTTTTTGGTTATCTGTACCCTCATAAAATATCCCCAACTAATTTAGCATTATTTTTTCAATCAACAAAATATAAAGCAATTAGCTGAAAATGCAATTTTTAAGTCTTTTATGCTACCACATTTATTCCAAGCTTCCTTTAGAAAAACCTCCCATTTGCATCAGGCCTCGGTCCAAATCACCTCCTACGACATGGTTCGGCCTCATTACATCTCTGGTCCCCTTTTGTACCCTGATTTAATTATTATGTCCCAAAGAGCCTTTTTTTCCCCTTAATTATTAATTTCTTTCCACTTTTTGCTGCTTTTGTGCAATTTTGTTTTCAAAATTCTTATACTTAAATTTATTTTATTCTATTTTCACATAAAGAGAATATGATACATACACTGCTGGACAAAAAAAAAAAAAAAAAAAAAAAAAAAAAAAAGATGCACCAAGAAGAAGTTATCTGAATGGGAAGAAAATTGGTAGAAGTGATGTACATGAACAGAAAAACAAATGATTACAGTTTGAGAAAAATTGGATGATTTATTGAAGTGATAGAGCTTCACAAAGTGAAAAAGTCACGAAGGCGTTTGTCTACCTCTGGTCTGTATGCAAGCAGTTATTCGGCTTGGCATCGATTGATAGAGGTTGCGGATGTCCTCCTGAGGGATATCGTGCCGAATTCTGTCCAACTGGCATGTTAGATCGTCAACATCCCGAGCTGGTTGGAGGGCCCTGCCCATAATGCTTTAAACGTGCTTAATAGGAGAGAGATCCGATGACCTTGCTGGCAAAGGTAATGTTCGGCAAGCACTAAGGCAAGCAGTAGAAACATGCGTAGTGTGGGGGCGGGCATTATCTTGCTGAAATGTAAGCCCAGGGTGGCGTGGCATGAAGGGCAATACAATGGGCCTTAGAACTTTGTTGACGTACCGCTGTGCTGTAAGGTTGCGACGGATGACAACAAAAGGGATCCTACTATGAAATGAAATGGCACCCCAGACCATCACTCCTGGCTGTCGGCTTGTCTGCCGGAAAACAGGTTGGTATCACACCGACTGCCGTCAAGGGCGTCTCCAAATTCACCTTCGATAGTCATCGGGGCTCAGTTCAAAACGGGATTCATCACTGCAGACTTATTCTATTCCAGTTAGCGACATTCCTATGCAAATGACCCCACACTGCAAATGGGCTTGACATTGTACAGAGGTCAATGGTAGTCAGCGCAAGGGGCGCCGTGACCTCAGCCTCCTTTCTGTGAGCCGTCTATAAATGGTCCTTGCGGTCATTGAAGCGCTAGTTGCACGTACAGTCGATGATAATGATGCATCTGGGGCTGTGACGATTGCTCGGTCTTCACATTCCGTCTTTTCTCTAGGCCTACCACATCCTTCTTGATGCTGTGTGTGGGCATGGTTCACCTATTCCTGCCAACATTGTCTAATAGTGGCATCGCTCCTGCTCAAATGTCGAGCTATTTGCCGATAAGACTAACCGGCTTCTTTGAGCCCAACTACATGACCTCTCTCAAATTCTGACATCTGCGCGTATCGTTCGTGCACCTGTATGCGAGGCATAGTTACAGTCCACCAGAGTACACAGAATTAAATTCATGAAGAATTTATGACCTGGAATAGTAATTTCTGCTCTTAAATATCCTACCAGTTGTGCAGATCAGATGCGCTGTAGCGACAACTGTTCATTCATTGGCAGACAAAATGTAAAATTTTGCATTTCCGTCAAAACCTGTATGCATATCAATTTGTGTCCAATTTGCTTTATATCTTCTCAGTGCACCGTTTTTCTTTTTTCTGTCTAAGAGTGTATGATATCCCTATTCTGAGCTTTCTCAAGCCATGTGGCTCCTCTTTTTTTCCATTACTAACTTTTATGTATTTCTCCTTTTCTTGTCAATTTTTAACTTTCTGATGTGGTGGTAGAAGGTTCCTAACCATAGGTATTCTGAAATTTACTATCCTTGGTTGACAGCCTTTCAAATTATAAAAATACACTGTTTTCTCCATTAGTGACCTATACTAAAGTGACCACACATCCCGATTTTGGCGGAACAGTCCCGCTTTTTGGATGGCTGTCCCGACGATTTTTAAAAATGTCCTGCTTTTCAGAAAACATCTGCATTTCTTATTTTAAATGTACTGTAAAAATATATTACCTATTATTTATTAATTATTATAGTGAATATAATGAGATAAAAAACACATAAAATGCATGCAGAGTAAACTAAATTAGGCGATGTAATGAGTTAAGATTTACTTGGTGGTGTTCGATTATTTTCGTTACGTCTCGTCAAGGAATATGTATTGTAAACGGAGGAACAGCTAGCATTAGCTGAAGGGTTATTTGCTTTCCACACCATAAACGACAATCAAAGTTTCAGATCAAATGACTGTACATTGCAAATGATCAAAACATTGCACGACAAAATATTTGCATGTGCAAGGACAAAAAAAGAAGCAATTATTTATTATGTTTTTTCACCATATTTGTTTTCACAACTGTAGAAAGAATTAGATAAATACACATTTATATCCATATATTATGATGCTTCCAACCACAACGATTTGAAATTATTTCCCAGAATCTCCCAATTTCGCACCTAATCTTCATCATGATTAAGCATTTTTGTTCCATAAAAGTTCTATATAAGCGTAATTCAGCTAGCAGATTGTTGGAAAAAATGTTGAGTAAAAGAAACATTCCTTTACTTTGTGAAAAACAAAATGGCATCCAAAACAAAACTAGCAAGTTGCTGTAGCAGGGTTGGTTGCCAAATTTTCGCCAAAAAATCGCCAAGTTACCATAATCCAAAGATTAATTGGCTAAACTTGTATTATCAATATTACTACTTAAAATGTGCCCCTACTTACTTACGTACCTTCAAATTTGCTGTTTAAACATGTATTCTAAAATTTTTTCTGGTTAAAACGTGCTTTCTAACTTGTGTTTTCAACTTTAACAGCTTTTCCATGGCTTGGCGATATTTTTGGTCGCCAAGCCAAAAAATCGCTAATGGGATCCTGTGCTCAAGCTATTCCAAAAAAATTAAGGCTGTACTCTATATGCGCCCTAAGGTTGCCGAATGCGGCGATATGTGTTGTGCACTGTTTTTTGGCGCGATTGCGTGTTCTGTTCCACGATGCTTTTGGGGGCGATGTTGGTTTCTGTGGCAACCCTTTTTACACGGAAACTTGGATTTGCTAGTTGGTTTGTGTAATGATTAAGTGATTTATGATGTGTTGGCAAAATTTTAGTCACGTGCTTGGTACAACTATTTTTTCGGGTGGCTGGAAATTCTACTTAATCAGAAATGCGATTTGGAGTTTTATTTGGTGGTTTATATATTTTTCATGGTACTACAGTCAAAAGTTGTTAATCCGGACTCGTCGGGACTTCGGCGATTCCGGATTATCGATTTTTCCGGATTATAGATCATCAGTTTAAATCTCATCAGATGGCATGCAGAAATTCTAAAATTAAAAATATGAAACCGTAATTTATGAAATAAAAAACAATTATGATCTAAAGGGTATCAAAATTTACACACACACACAAAAAAAGCTTAATATTTAGTTGTTTACCTTATTAAACATTTCTTTCAATGTAAGTTGTTTAAGTTGCTTCGTTTTATGTGATAATACTTTCTCTTTAATTCTATAAACAGACATAATTTCTTGTTCAGTTACAAAGTTCCGCTGTTCAAGTTCCTTTAATTGCTGTGCCGAGAATACCGACTAACTTGTCAATCGGAATTTTTTCGTTTTCACTAACCTCTCTGTCACATTCTCCATGTCTTTATCCATTTTTTTTGCAGCAATTCCACTTTTTGTTTGTTGGACATCGAAAACATACTTTCGTTTTGTAGATCCTTTGGAAGTTCCAGCATAGGAAATTCTATTTGACATAATC